GGACGGGTCGTGGCTGGCGGCGGGACCCGAGCGGCTCCTCAGAGCTCGAGCCCGCGACGTGTGCCCCATTCGGGCGGGAACCGGGCAGGGCCGATCTCTGCTCCCGCTCCCGCTCCCTCCCTCACGTTCTCCCCGTGATCTGACAGTGCCGCTGCTCAGCACTTCCAGCCGTGCCACAGCAGCTGAGGGTCCCCGGAGCCGCCGGGGGGACGGGCCGAGCGCCTGCTCGCTCTCCTCTGCCTGTAACTGGTGGTGGCTGCTTGGTCCGGGGTTGGTTTGTGTTACCCGTCTGTGTGTGTCGTGCAGATCGGGGCGGTCCTGACTCGTTTGTTTCTTCCCCGTAGGTTTTTTGCTCTGACTTATCTGCGCTTGCTGTTCCTGGTTGCGTTTACCCTCATAGTAGTAGTTTGTCTAGATCAGTGGAAGAACAGAATCTGGCCTGAAATTGGAGGTAAGTTGCCACATTTGAGTTGGTACCGGCAAGTCAAGCGCTGGATTTAGCCCCAGAGGTGGACCGGCTCTGCGTCATGTGGAGTTAAATAGTTAAAACTGTGGGTCTTTTGCTTTGTGTTTCTGGAAGTGGGCAAGAACATTGTAGGCAGGTTCTTCTGGAGCTGGAAGACCCTAACCTATACAAACATAAGATTTTCTCATGCCTGCGACACTGGTATTTGTCCCACAGTCTCTAAACATCTGGTGTACGTGAACTAGCGCAGGCTTTGAAGCAGTGATTCACCTTTGGAGCATTCAGTACAAGCACAAGAAACTGAAGCGTACATAGAATACGTCTGGATTTTTCCTTAGAATCTGTAATAAACCAGCTCCATGTTTTAGGACAAAGATGTGTCCCAGCCTTGCTGCTGAGCAGAGATTTTTGTGAAAGGAGAGGCCTCTCAACGGCTGTTAATGAAGTTAGTCTTCGCTCTCCATAAGGGAAGCAGGTGTATCTCTTGTTCCTGGCATTAATACACTAATGAATACTACTGCTCTCAGCAGCTCAGGGTTGGGCTGGCTTTGCATGGACAGGCTGGCTTTGAAGCTGTGTGGATGGTTTGCACGCTCCCAGAGGTGGTTCCCTAACTAACTAGCCAGTACAGTTCCCAGCTTTCTGCTTCAGCTTGTGTTCTCTGTAGTTCTTGGGAGGACATTAAAGCTTTCTCTGGTTTCTGGCAGCAGCTTGGCTCAGGCTCTGTAGCTGAAGTTTCCTGCTTAGGAGGAAGGGTCCAGCTCCCTCATAACCTTGATTTTGATTTGTCAGGGTAACTGGTACGTCACTGGGTCCCTTTTCAAATCCCAGCCTGGGTGGGAAAGTATCAAAAGACTGAGATCTCTGATGCCTCTCAGAAGCAGGCTGATCTTCCTTCACCGGCTGGTGTTGGGGGGAAGGCAGAAGTGGTGGTTTTTGCTCTTACCTGTCAGTGGAACCAGAGCACCCTTCCAGAGAGCCTCCAGCAGGTTGAGGAGCAACAGGGGGACTCTCTGGCATCTTGTGCTGTCACACATACACGTTCAGAATGGGGTGTGCAGTGAGGCATCTCTGGTTCTTAATTACAGCTGATCCCTTTTCCAGGTATTCCCCAGCTCATTAAAGCTTTACTTAAATCCCAAGAGCTAAGCATTCTCATGGCAAATTCCTTGCAACTAATGCAGTGTCTGTTCTTAATATTTTAGTGGCAAGACCTGACGAATTAGACAATGAGAGGTAGGAAACTAATTGAATCTCTGCTGTTTGGTACTTTGCTGTGATACTGTGTAATTATTACCTGCACGTGCTTGTAATGTTGGCTCCTTCGAGCGGGGAAAGGAGGGGGGAAGGTGGACGGAGCCCCGGACTCTGTCAAGCTGTTGAGACAACTTTTTGACTGGCCCCAAACCATTACATTATACTTAATCTCTGCCTCATACTGGCCTCCAGAATGCTTGCTTGAGTGTTGTAAAACTTCCCCTGCCACTTCCCCCTGCACCCTTAAGGTAGAGGTGCTGCCGTAAAAGCAATTCCTTTTGTGTGGGCCTCCAATAGCAAGAAACCAGCGTTTCTTCTGGAAATAATGAAGTCTTCTGAGACTTGACAAGGAATGTTTAACAAGCTTGTTCCAGAAGTTGTTCCTGCATAGTTACGGTCTGACTGCAGCATTAAGAATGGGTTGAGAAATGCTGGGGTGTTGCCTTACTAATAGCACCTTCCTCTCTCTGGGCACACCTTCCTGCTGCCGAGCCCCGCTGGGTGCTCGGCTCCTGATTAAATCACTTGAACTGTTGCCAAACGACAGTTGCTTTGGTTGTTTTTGTTTGTGTTTGGGTTTTTTTTTTTTTTTTTTTTTAGGCCCAAGTAGAAAAGGAATTGCTTTTCCTAACCTTCAGGTACTTGTGACTAGCAGTTAAGAAGCACTAATAGAACTTGACAAAGCCTCTGAAGTAACTGGATATATTAAGTAAGGTGCAAGGCTGCCTGTAGACCTGGTGCTGAATCCTTGGGGGTTGCAGTTGACCAAGTAAATGCAGAAAAAGCAAATGGATTCTCTTGATTTGCTTCTGCACTGTCCTTTCCCTCCAGTAGCGTGGAAACAAGTCTAAGCCAAAAGACTGAATGACTGAAATTACTGCTCCTTAGCTGCTGAGGGAGGATGGGACCCTCGTGGAAGGGTGTGTAGAAGTGCTGCCTTTGGCAAGGGGCTGTTTGGAAAGGCAGGCTGACCCTCGCCTCTAGAGCTCAGCGGCTGGGGGGAGGAGAAGGTAGTGTAGAGACAAGTGTTTGTAACGGGTGACTCCTGCGCTGGGGTCCACGCAGTAATATCTGTTCCCGAATTCCCCCCTTCGCTGCAGCTGGGGATACGTTCACCCTCGGCTGCTCGGCGTGCCAGAACTCTGTCACCATTTGGCTGAAGGATGGGTGGCTGGGACCAACTTCTTAAGTAATCTCTTCATTTTCAAGAGGCAAAACCCCGGAAAGGTAAGAATGTACCGAGCTCAGCAGATGATGTGTTTGACGTGGAGCCTCTGCTGACCGCCGGTATCCTCCTGCGGTGGCGTCCAGCACTGGCTGCAGGCGCTCGGGCGTGGGAGGTCCCCACAGCTCCTGGTGGTGGGGAGGGATGGAAAGCACAGGCAGAAAAATCAGGTTGCGGAGGAGGGAGGAGAAGGCGAGTGTCAGCATGTTGACTGCGCTAGGGAAGTGAACACGGAGCTGCTCCTTCTGTAGGTTTCTGGCTTTTTCAGTGTCTGTCAAACTCCCTCCCTCGTTGGACTTTAACGGTTTGAGAAAGTGTGTCAAGCTTTCTTTTCTCCTTCTTTTTTTGAGGCTTATGCAAAGAGGAGCCTGTAACACAGTGGTACTGTCCTTGTCTTTTTTACCTCAGAGAGTCCTGTCTTTAGCCTCTTCCTTGCTTTTAGCACACCTGCTTTGGGAAGCTCCTCGTGTACCGAGGCAGAGGCCTTGGCACGCTGCCTGTTGCTCTGAAGCCAGATATCTCCTGTCTCTGCACTAGCCCTAGAGCAGGGTAGCTCAACTAGGCAAAGCCTTAGGAAGGCCTCGCTGCTGTTAGAACTACGTCCTGACGTAGAATCTGCAGAGAACAAGACAGCAAAGAACTGCGTGAACGTGCTGCTCAACCTCGGAAACTCACTGTCTCCCATGTCTTCAGTTCTGCCTTCTAGTGTGTGGATTCTTTACTTTCCTGGCGGTCCTGGGCCGGTACATCCCTGGACTCCTGCTCTCGTACTTGCTGTGTAAGTAGAACTCTGTGCCAAATACAGACTTCTGAGAGAAAAGAGGTGGAGACGAGTGGGAGCTGGATGGCCGAGGGATGGGGCTCTTCTGCTCTGAAGGGAAGTTTGTGTGAATGGCTTTAAACTTTACGATAATACATTCTGCCTGGAATGTGGTGGTTCTCCTCCGGGACTCTTAAGGTCTCTGGTCCAGAGAGAACATGTTTGAGTGCTTAGTAACCAGAGGTTTGAGCACTAATAGGATGGCCTCTCAGTTTTGTTAAATCGGCAGAGGTGGTTGCACCAACCCGCCCCCCTGCAGCACTGCCTCCAGCGCTCAGACCTCGCATGCCCTGTGTGTGTTGTGCTGCAGCACAAAATGGGCAAGATGTCTGCCAGGTAGCATCCTGAACAGACTTCTGATCAGAGTTCCCACTTACCTCAGTGCTCTTCATCCTGCTGTGGCCCCTTGCCGTGTACCACAGACTGGGGCAGCGCGTGTACATGAAGCTGGAGCCAGCTCTGCAGCGGCTGGATTTCAGCGTTCGAGGCTACATGATATCAAAGCAGCGGGAGAAGCAGTGTGAGTTTCTGTGCTGTGTTTCTGCCCCTCGGTACCTGACACTGCCTGCGAGCCAGGCCCGGCCTCGGGGAGGGCCGGGGCTGCGTGCGGCACCGCTCCCCCGGCGCCGGCAGGTCCCTGCAGCCGCGCTGGGCTGCTCTGCCTGCGCAGGCAGCTCCCAGCCAGCGGCTGGCGTGGGCTCCTCGCAGCGCCAAGCCGCCCTGCTGAGCTGCCAGGACTGCCTGTTCCGTATTGCACTGGCACTGAAAAAAGAGGAGGGGCTCGGCGCGAGGGAGCTGCTAAACATGTTCATCTCTGCAGAAGGTCTGCAGCAGCCCACGTCAGAAACGATCCCGTTGCTCTGCTGAGGAACAAAGCATGTCGGGTTGTGTCACGTCGTGTCCCTGCTGGGTTGTGTCATGTCCACGCATGGCAGTTGAGGGTTTTTCTACTCTGCTGAGGTTGGCCCTGTACAGACCCCGTCCTAGCAGCAATAACAAGCTTTGTCTCTGGTTTCTGTCAGTGCGTCACCGATCCCTCAGTCAGGAGGCTGTGGATGATGGGAGTGACAGTGAAGAGGAGCTCGCTGCGTTCTGTCCCAAGGTAACAAAAAGTCTCAGAAGCAGAAAGGCTCAGCTGACCAGAACGAACTCACCCCATTGCGTGGACACGGGGTCCGTAGCCCTGTATCCAGCACATTGTGATGGGAGATCAGATGAGGATATTCTCCCTTTAGAGAGGCCTTTCCTATTCTGTCTCACTCATGTATGTCCAGAGCTGCTTGTACCAGCCAGTCTCCTAGGCGGGGCAGTCACGTGTGAGATGAGCCTCAGGTGCCAGCCTCCCACGAGGACTGGGTTTAACTGGCGGCCACTGGATCACGTGTTTTGTCTTGAGGCACAGGAATCAGCTTTCCAGTATTTGATGTTTCCAATTTTATCTCCAATTTCAAAGCTGGATGACTCTGTGGTCGCCAAGGAACTAACCATCTCTGACTCGGAGCACTCGGACGCAGAGGTCTCCTACACAGAGAACGGGATGTTTAACCTGTCGAGGGGCCAGACTCCCCTGACGGAGGGGTCGGAAGGTGAGGGGGAGTGGGCAGCCCCTGGCAGGCGCCAGTGTGACGGCTTGGAGGGAGGGTGCGTTGCCTTCTGTCCTCGAGGCCTAGCTGTTTGATGTCTGTCTTGCTGGCTGAGATGAGATGCCAGTACCTGTTTCGTCAGAACTGAGCTTCCTTCTTCGTCCCTGTGGTGCTTTAGCGGAGCACCAGCAGCTGCTCTCCGGAGGCAGACCCAGCCCTGTGCGTCCCTGGCTGCAGGGATGCGGGTTGCAGCCCCGCCTGCCACGGGGCGTTTCCTCTGGCAGAGGGTGTCTGCTCCAGCATCTGCCCTGGGGAGGCCAGCAGGCACCCCGAAAAGCCATGCCAGGGCAGGTGACAGCACGATGGGTCCGTGAGGCGGCAGGAGACGGGCTGTCTCGGGGGGGTGGTGGCCCAGCGCTCGCGTGTGTGCTGCCCCCGCCTCGGGGTTTGGCCTGTGCTGTGTATTCAAAGCACTTTCTCCTCTTCTAGACCTGGATGGTCACAGCGACCCCGAAGAATCTTTTGCCCGGGATCTCCCCGACTTCCCTTCCATAAACCCGGAAGCAGCTGGCATAGACGACGAGGATGACACCAGCATTGGGATCCCCAGCCTGGCTTACCGCCCTCAGCTGACAGAAGACCTGCATCTCCCGTACGAGCAGGAGGAGTCGGGCGCGCTGCCGTCTGTACAGAACCTCACCCACAACATAGCCGGCTTCGTCACCAGAGGCATGATACAGCTGGCGCTGTCAGGGGCCCCTCAGCCGGGCCCCTCGCGCGGAGACAATCCCCAGAGAGGTGCAAAGACTTACCTCAGAACGGCCAGCTCGGACTTGGACACGGATGCCGAAGGGGATGACTTTGAGCTGCTGGATCAGTCCGAGCTGAACCAGCTGGATCCTGCTGGCTCACGGGGCCAGTAAGAAGCCCACCACTTCCCTCTGGTTTTCTATCGTGCGTCGTGGAGGGAACCCTGGAAGGAAAAGCCTTGCACAGTTACCTAGGTCGTCTCCTGTGTGAGTATGAGTGACGTGACAGCCAGCCCTGGCTGGGAACACCACTGTGACTTGTGACTCTGTAGCCTCGCTTGGATTTTAAAATAAACTACACTAGTAATTCATAGGGAAAAGGCGTTGATGTGATAGCTCCACAATCACCCATGCGTTGCCCTGCACTCTCTGCCAGGACACTGCTTGTTCCGCACTTCCTCACCCAGGACAGTAAATCCGGGGTCTGCAGCTCCGGGGCCGCCGGCCGGACCGACAGCGCCGCCGAGGACAATCCCGGAGCCGACCGCCCCGGGGAGGCGGGGTTGGTGTCCCCTCAGACTCCGTGTCTGGGACGTAATGCTGTTCTGTCTTTAAGACAACTGTTCCCCCTCCTAAAACGTGCACAGAATCCAAGTCTCCTCTCCCAGCAATATCCCGCTCCGGGTGGGGACGAGCCCCTCGCTCCTGCCGCGGTGCTTGTGCTTGCAGCGACGGCTCAGCTCCGGCTCTCGAGTGACGCTGTTTTGTAAGAGACACGTTGGCAATAAGACACCGACTGTGATGACGAGTCCCACAAAGAACACGCGCGTGTGGCAGCTGCTTTTGTGTCGCTTTCCTCAAATAACGGACCAACGCTTTGCTCGAGCTCCCCGTGTGCCTCCGGTGCCGTCGGACAGCGGCAGAGCCGCTCCCGCGGCGCTGGCTCGGGGGCTCCGGTTTTCCGGAGCAGGGAGAGGTGGGGCCGCCCTGCCCGGCCGGTGCTGCTCTGGTGCCGGGGCCGCCCCGCTGCTTCC